TTTGAAGTTGAAGTCAACAACAGCATTATTTCCGAGTCGACATAATTATATGGACTTATCCTTGACCTTGTATCTTTCTCTGGAAAATGCCTGCACCTTGGATAAATTATCTTAGAAATAGTATTTTTCACATCTACAGAAATTCAACAATTTGACCAATTGCAAGTTTATATACTTGTTGATTGAATTGAACAATTTTAAACGCATAGTCCAAACAATAGTATGATTTCTTGAAAGGCTTTGTTAAATGCTTACTACTGTAAATTCTACCCAAGGAGCACAAAGGAAAATTTCAACTTAAACGCCAATAACTAAGAACCAATCAAAATAAGAGAAAACCCATATTTACAGATTATTACATTACTAGATTCAGCTTTATACTTCTAGACACGACTACTTTACTGACAACGACTCTTATGGAGATTACTTGTTATACGTTGTGCCTAGTTCTTTATCTACTAGAGAACTCGCTTCACAAGTTAGTTTATATTTTCTGGTAATAAACCATCCGAATTTTAGAAATTCTTTTTGTAATTTACACCCAAAGAGACCTCTTTCACATTGGGAAGGCATCACAGCAAAAAATTAAAGAAGCCTTTCATGACATAATATTATTGGACTAATAAATATGTAGTTTGCAAATTTTGACTGCCCACCTTGACATATTCTTTTTAGATATGGTTATCATTTGTATTTAAACTAAAAACACTGAATGCATGCATATGATATCTATATACATGTTCATGTATGTGCCTCAGTTTTAGCAGACATTGGCAAGGTAGTAAATTGTTTAGTACTGTAAATTCAGAAAGAATTGTGAGGGTTTTGTGAATGCGAATAATGCAACTGGATGAGTATTGCAATAATAAAAACTCACATTCTGGTATCAGATACATGTATCTGTACATGCAGATTTCTTGAATTAGCAATAACTAACCTCACATTTTTGTCCTTTCTTTCAAAAATCACAATAATAAATGCACAATAATTTAAGAATTTACTGTAAAAATTCTAAGAAAAAACTATTATAACTTAAGCTATGTTCAACTTTCTATATCTCATATTGAAATAGAAAAATAGGGCACTTAAAAGTTCAGCCACATGATTTATTAACCGGAAAGGTCAAAAGAAAGCTTAATTTTTGACTTTGACAAGTATTGTTTATACCAATCATTTATCTTTTTAATATTCTTTTTTTAGGGGGGAGGTGGAGGGAGGGGTAGGAAGTTTGAGTTTTTCATAATCTTAGTAAAGGTTGTTTCCTAGAAACATAATAATTACTGCGGACACAGGAATTGCAAATATCTGTGGGTGTTTTTTTATGCCCCGCCCTAGGCAACGGGAGCATTAAGTGTTTCCCTTGATTGACTGTCAAGCCCTATTTTCATTTCCGCACTCTTAGTTTGTCTCATGCAAATTTTATGAAACTCATACACAATGCTAAGAACCACACCACGCAGACAGAGTTTGGATTGTGAGTCATTTACTCTTCTAGAGTTATGCCCCTTTTTAACTTCGAAAATTGCAACACTTGAACCTCATACACATTCTTCTTTTATTGTAAGAGTGATTTTCGTTCCAAAATGATCTATATAGACATGGTTCCTGTTACCAAATTTTCAAACATATGACTTTTTATACGCTTGTCGAAAACAGGACATACTAATTGTTTACCAATGTCAATCTGTCTGTCAACACTTTCTAAGATAACTAAAATTTGATGGCATGTGATCATGTCATTTCATCACAACATCAAGATTTTTGTTTTTGAAACATTTTAGCTGGGTCATTCCAGAGTTACAGGACTTTAAGAGGGAAGGAATGGGGTACCCTACATGACGAATGACAATAAAATATTTGTTTAAATAACTTTAAAGATAAACAATTAATTCCATTTGATGCTAAGTAGCTACAAAATAAGATATGAGGATAGAAAATTAAGACTCATTTGACAATAACGGTAGCGAAAAAAAAGACGTTTGACGATTGACGACAAAAAGCATTCATACCCTCCTTTAACAGTTTGAATTAAGGCTTATACATGTTTCCCATATGCACTAACTCCAATATGCTCAATACTTGTACTTTACCGTTGTTTACATTATTGTTGACATATTAAATAAAGGAAGCGCCCTTTCAATTTTTTTTTATTTTCTGCTCTTTAGTTGGAGAGTTGCACAACTGTAATTGTCAATATAAGGTGATAGAATTATCATGGTGTCTATGTTATATTATATTTACTCACTATTTAATTATATAGATATAAGAATAGAGTTGTATATTAAAAAACATTTTTGTGATTACTTTCCATATGTTGTATTGGATGAATACGGAAGGTAACAGAATGGAGCTTGAAACATCTGAAACCATATTGGAAATATACTGAATATACATGTATATAGGTTTTTTGTCGAGCCTGCGACTTCTGTCGCAGAAAGCGAAACTTAGGGATAGTGATCCGGCGGCGGCCACGGCGTTAACAAACTTCTTAAAAGCCTAATATTTCAGAAGGTAGAAGACTTTGATCCTTCATACTTTGTATATACATGCCTTATGTTATGAAGTTTTCGTCTGTCATATGTCCATTATCCTTGACCTCATTTTCATGGTTCAGTGACTACTTGAAAAAAAAGTTAAGATTTTTAGTATTCTTAATTTCTCTCTTATTATGAGTAATAGGATAACTATATTTGATATGCACGTACCTTGCAAGACCTTCATGCCTGTCCGACAGTTTTCGCTTAACCTCGACCTTATCTCATGGATCAGTGAACAAGGTTAAGTTTTCGTGGTCAAGTCCATATCTCAGATATTATAAGCAATAGGTCTACTATATTCGTTGTATGGAATTATTGTTAGGTGTATATGTCCAACTGGCAGGTGTCATCTGACCTTGAACTTATTTTCATGGTTCAGTGGTTAAAGTTCAGTTTTTGTGTTTTGGTCTGTTTTTCTAATACTGTATGCAATAGGTCAACTATATTTGGTGTATGAAAACTACTGTTGCCTTTATTTGTATACTGTTGTTGGCCTTTTTGGTCACATTCGTTTTTGCCATCGAGTTGTCAGTTTTTAAGGATACGTATAAATGAATTTTAGGGATGTTCGAAATTGAATATAAAAACAGTGTTTTCTTTAACATAAAACAAGTTTCAATTTTCCCTCTGCAAATAATTTATACCATTGCAAGATAGCCTTGACATTGTTGAACAGCGACGTATTTCGAAACCACTTTCTCAAGCAATTTCATTTAAACACTAAACTTCACTGGAAGAAAGCAACAAAGCATTATTTAATTTGAGATGATATCAAAATGACATCTCGTTGTTTCGAACTCGGTTGATTCGAAATTTCGGATGAATCGCAGTTTTTCCGTGTTCCCGACCTTTGTAGTCGAAATTGCATGAGTCGAAATTTCGGATGACTCGAACCAAATTAAGGGTCCAAAGGTTAGCAAAAAGCATTCAAATTGCATTATTTATCTCAAACGAATACACATATGCCAAAACATGACCTCGAGGATTTAAATAGATTTCAAAGTTCACCTGACAATACATACACGTGTAATTAAATTTCCGGTCACTGACCACTCCATTGATTTATGCCATTCTTTTTCATCGAGTGTTTACCTAAGATTAGCTTTAATCACTATGATAAATAATTAATGATACATTGTTAAGGGTTATGAAAAAATGTTTGAAAAACAACAAACTTATGAGGTTGATTGTGCATTAAGTAGGGATTAAGACTTAGTGATCAACTCAAAACTACTCAATTGGCGTTTTTATTTTTTTTGTATTTTATTTGAACGAAAAAAAGTGTAATCAAAGAAAATGAAAAGAAGTCTAAATTTTCTTAAATCTCCAGTATACGAGAATGACCAATTTTATCAACTGTAAATAACGCTAAGATCGATTGTAAAAGAGGGACGAAAGATACCAGAGGGACAGTCAAACACATAGTTCGAACACAAACTGACACACCATGCCCAAAAATAAAAAAGACAAACAGACAAATAATAGTACAGAATAGCATTGAAAACTAAAGACTAAGCAACACGAATACCCACCAAAAACTGTTACTGTTAAATTACTCTCTCGGCTTAAAACCACAGGAATACATTGTAACTGTACAAGGAAATGAATAAGAGATGAAAATCGTATAATCTTATTATAATCATAAAGAATTTTACATAGAGATATATCGATCCCCTAACTATATTCATCTGGATTTATTTTAGCCTTATCGAGCTAAGCAAGAGTTGTGTCCTTTGGACTATCAAACTTCCGGCATTCGTTTGAGTCGAACTACGGGTATCTCGAAATATTTCTCGGGTCCGGTTGACTTCGAGATACCGAGATTATCTAATTGTGACATCCTCGTGTAGATACAAGAGAATTTAAAATCCTGAAAATATCAGACCAATCACAGGCCCATTTTTATCCTATCATTGACACAATCTACATAAATAATGGCAGTGCCAACAACAACACTGTTGATACTACACAAAACAACTATAAGACCACTGTGTAGTAGAAGTCTTAAATAAAACCCGCTTTTCACAGTACCTACAGGAGTAATAAAACTTCGACATCTTACTATTATTTTTAAGTGTTTTTTAAATGCAAACTTGACCTTGCTCCTAGATCGAGGTCAAAATTTAAATTATTTTCTTGCGCCTTCCCAGACGTGATAGTCCTTCGAATGTTTGTAATAGTGTAACTTATGGTACATGTAAGAAATGTTATCTCGTTTTCAAGTTGAGAGTCAATAGTAAAAAACTGGCTGAATTGGTGATTGAGGGAAATCATTTATACAACTTGTATATATATAGAGTAGACTGATGATTTTGGCCTTTTGACTTATACACGTAGATCTTTGCTGATCAGTCATGTTATTTCAAAATAACAAATTCTTTTTACCGATCAAGCATTTAAATAAAATCAAATTTATGAATCTGAAATAAACATAATGATAAAGTTGAAGACATACAAGTGAATTTGATATTATGTCATCGTGTTGTAAATTTCAGCGGCTCTGTTAAATCACTGGTTTCTGTTGATGTATGAATGGCAAAGTTCAAGTTTGCTTTTATTGTTTTTTTTTCTCTGTACACATCAATCATCAACTGTTTGTCAATTGTAATTAGCCTTATTCCATTAGTGTTCCGTACTGAATAAACTCTGTAACTATCCAAAGATACTCCTTATATCTTAGGTGTAGAACTATGCAAGGCATCGTTCTTCTACAAAAGAGCATGAATTAATAATAAGACCTAAACTTTTTCATAACACTTTTCATAAACATAAAATATTTGCATATATATTCAAAATCTTAAATTATGTTTTTTTTTTGTCTTTGATATATCACTGATAATACTGGCATATGGCATCACCAGGAAGAATGATTACACCAGTAGTATCAACAATCATGTGATAGTAAACGATCTATGATATGTAACCATAGTTTTATACGCTGAACAATCGAAAATAAAACCATATAATACGATTCAGAACCATGTTTGCACTTCCGACTACAGCGAACGTTTCTTCAGAACAATCTTATTAGTAACCAATAAGTAATGTTTGTTGCGTTTACTCGCCATAATGGCTATTTTACGATATCAATATATAGAAAACCCGATAGTCTATACTTGTTCATTCTCTCTCAGTTCTACACGTTAGATCATTTAGTAAACAGCCTACACCAAACACTTTATGACAAACAGAGCAAAAAACAATACAAATGGAGAATGCCAAAAATATACCTTGTTATAAAAATGACAAAAGTAGAAATAAAATGGTGTCTAGAAGATATCGTTATACGATTTTAATTGACATAAGCACTTTCAATAAACATTCACTATGGTGTACCTGTGCAGTATCTGACAATATCGATTTTTTATACGGCGTATTTTATACTCGACATATTGTATATTATTGTAATATATGTGCCGATGCAATCGACTGTTATACAACTATTTTATTAATGTTTTATTTTTGACTCTCCCAAAAATTCATCGAAACAAAAACCGTGCGTATTCGTGTATACAATCAATTAAATGTTTCAGGAGACATAACGTCTGCTTGCAGAACAAAATGTTTTGAGACGCTTTGTAATTCCATTGTTTTGATAATTTGTTCTTAAATAGGGGTTAAAAGTTAAAGCTGATGAACATTGCACTACAACCAACACATGAAGAAAAACGAAGTTGTAAATGAAATAATACTAATGATTTGATGTCTTTATTCAGTTTGTGATATTTATCATATTACGATATCATGAATAATTCAACAGGAATGTTTTTACCTGAAGGATCTTCTTCTTCCGTAGGTAAATCAGTTACTGGAACGTCGCTATTGATATATGAATCAGAAACTGTGGAAAGGATTATTCGCAAGATTATATTATGTACATCAATTTTACATTTGCTAAAAATCAAAAACATGTTACTTTTTACATTAAAATAATAAGAATAAATGCACCGGAAAATACGAATGCAACATAATGTATAATATATAGATACAATGAATAAGCGTTGATTCTTGAAAAAGAAACCATGAGCCCGGAGGGCAAATGTTTTTTTTTCATGAATCAACGCTTATTCATTGTATCTGTTATTCAAACTATTGTGTTGATATCTTTTTTAAAAATTAAAGCCTTTTCTTAATTAGAAGGTATTGTAAGTTAGTTTAAATAACCATGTAATCACTTTCAACGACGCATTTATAAATCAAAGTTCACAATTAATTGGTTAGAGAAATACAAATATAACATAACACGTCTGTCTTTACATTATCAGGCATCTGAAAATCATCCGTAATTTACAAAATAAGACATATTTGAACGTATTTCTAAGTATATGTAATAAGTATGCTACTAAAAATTCTACCAAGAAGCCTAATTCTAGACACACCACGATTTGCGAATGAACATTTGTTAAGATATCTAGTAAAACAGATGAAACCACACTATATTTATAAAACTATAATGGACAAATTGAATGTAATCATTTTCTTTTCAAATATGTGAGATAGCCAAATTATTATAATCAAAAACTGAACGGGTAAACCCGATATATTATTACAAAAATATCCATAGTAACACACAAAATAAGAAAAACGGAAAAACTAAAGATCCTCGCAGCTACCATCTTATACTTTATGAGTGTCTATTATGTATACATGAAAGGTACACGCCCTGTGTGTCCGTTGTACTAATGTGCATCATATGTTCGTTAATATATATAAAATATTTAAATTGTAACCCATTGGTAGCCGAGAGGTTTCCTCGATGTGTTGATGTCAGTCACACATAACAGATTTCATGGAGGGGTTCGATTCCCAGTGAAGGCATATAAAAACTACAAAGTTCAATGTAAATTTTAAATTTATTATATTAGTGAACAGAAATCAGTAAATTAGCCAATTCAATCTTAATGAAATTAGGCACACAAAGGAAACAATTGAATATCATCTGGTGAGTCCATTTTAGTGACAGATTAGGAAGCGTTGATTCTAGAATTCACGGTAAATGAATAAGCTGACGTCACGACAATGGTTTAAATTGAGGAAATCAAATAAAACCTGGTATCTTTGGTGAGTTGTTTTGCCTCATTATCAAAATGATCTCAAATGTTTTCCAACGCTTTACTACATCACATTTTAATTGTATTTGTCTTTTTTTTTTATATTTTCCATTACAGAATAACCTACCTTTTCCTCTGCAAAACAGGATTACAGATGTAAGGCACAATGATACTCCTAAAATAATAAATATGAACGACCCTGGAAAAGAAATTTAAAGTAAAAATATGTTGTCTGTCGATTGTTAAGAAAAATATAGTAATTTGTGCTGGTATTATGTAAACTTGGTTTGTTTTCTTAAAAGGTTAACAAATATATATATATATATATTGAAAATTCATATGGTATGTTGTGTCTACACCATTAGGTAAGAAAACAAAACAAATACAAGTATTTCCACTCTTGGAGTAATATGTTGTGACACAACATGATTTTAAGATTCTGAGAATCATTTTTTTTTAAGTTGTCAGTGTTCATTTAAAAAATGACGGGAGAAAGATTATATCCGGTGTCAGCTGACTGCTAGCACTAAAAAAATATGAAGTTTACCATAACAGTATTTAGTATTGAATACAGGAAGGAGATAAATGCGGGCTCACTAAAAGTAACTTCTGGTGGCAAATATTAATTTAATTTGCACCAAAAGAAATGATATATATGTGATTTATTTATTTAATATGTGCATATTTGAGTCTTGCAATATAGAAAACCAAAAACGTCTGTTATTATGGCATCTATTGTGAACAAAAAGTAGATGTGAAATAAACAAAAATGCAATCTTAATTTCAGACAGATTAGACCATTTGAAAATCAAAATTCAACTAAATGTATTATTCTATTCTATTCTTTACAGTTTTAAGAACATTATTAGTATGTTACGATGGACCAGAGAGAAACATTTTGCATGGTTCGTCAAATACCACATGTCTTCATAAATTAACTGATTTATACCGTTTCTCAAATCAAAATGTTTATGATATGTTTAAAAAGACGCATCCATTCAATATATGTCGACAATATTTTACATTTAGTTATTTCATTTAACTTTGAATGCTAAACTATGCGACAAGTTGTCTTTTAGTTAGGTAGGGGAAGACAGTTTTTCATAAGGACAAAAGTAACACAATATAGAATGAAAATGGGGAATTTGTCAAAGAGACAACAACCCGATCAAAGAGCAGAAAACGGCCCAAGGTAAACAGTAGGTCATTAACGCAGCGAAAAAAATCCACACTAGAAGGTGGGATTCAACTACCCCATGAACAATAATGTATACTGGTTCAGCGAAATGGACGCCACACTATAAACTCCGAAACATACAAACGAACAAACATTTTAAAAACACAAAAAAAATATTGCCTTTGAATATATGCAAAGGTGAATTGATTAGAGAAAGACAAGCGACAACGGTGCTCACTGGTGCTCACTGGTGTTAGGGATAACTGTAAACAAAACAATTACTAAGCACCATGAAATTAAAAGGAGTGTGTTTAATATCTTTTATTTTGTTATATACATTATACGTTTTATTCAGTAATCAGCACTATTGTGTTGACATGAATAATCGTTGAAAAGTTCATTTGCTTTAAATAATCTGTTTATGAAATCTTGAATTATTCGATATAAAGTTTTTATGCAACAGACATAGATTGCCTTTTACGTTTTGTCACAAACTTTAATATACAAAACGCGCATCACTGCCTACTAAGAATTTAAGCTGCTACCTTAAGACTTATTTTATCGATTGCAATTTGATATGAATTTGTTTAGGTACAAATTGGCGCAATTGTTATCCTCTAAAACTACTGAATACAACCTACTTTTTAAATATGTAGTGTACGAGGGTAATCTATTCAATGTTACATACCCGAGCATGAAACTTTTCCAAAATGTCCAATTAGAACGCCTGCTAGAAGTATCAACAATACGAAGCATATGAAAAATGCTATCTTTATATCTGAAGAAAAACAAAGTTGTATTATCATTTAAATAGGACACTGAACAATTGTTTGATAATGGTGACTAAAAGTTTGATGTTTGTCTGTTCAGATGTAAAAGCAATCATACTTAATGATAATATGTTTTAATGCAATTCCAAAACTTCACTCGTAGTACAACTTATGCTTTAAAACGAATGCTACAAACCAATATAAGGAAAAAGACTATCCTTTTTGAAATTGGCTCTTCCAACACAGTTCTCGGTGGCACAAAATTAGGCAATATCCTTCAATATAAATTAGTTCCATTAGAAACACCTCCCTACTCTAAAGATATTTCTGAACCTGTCATAGCTTATACGTGTACCAAACCAATTATGACTAAATTAGTTAATTACAAACACGTTTGGATGATCTCTTAGTCTATATTAACGATTTTAAGTCCAAATATCATGAACGCATATGCATGTGACAGTTCTCAATTCAAATATTATCCGGCTGTCCATATCACTGGTGATCTGAAAACTGTCAATAACTTACCTGCGAAATGTTTGATATACAGACCCGAAATACCGTGAGGGCTTAATCCATCATTTGGAGAAAAAAAAACTTTGATATACTGGTGTAGTCGGGAGAGGATTATTCAAGGCTATGAATTAAACGCCAAAAAGAAAGGAAAGCTACTCTTCCCAAAAGGATTGAGGCTGTGAGGTCATTGATTCCGATAAGAATTTAAAAACAGAACGGGTCTATGAACACACATGCTACATCGATCTTATGAGACAAAAATAATTCAAAGCAACTGTCCTACCTCCATGAACAATATGTATTTGTCTCCGCAGATAAATCTTTATCATAGATATATAAACTTCACAAAAATCCTTATGAAGAACGATATATATAGCCGGGTTATCAATATGTTCTTACCACATTTGTTCCTACAATATAAAATACTGAAATATTGAGATGAGGTATATTTAACCAATAGTGTCAATCAAATGTGGATTTTTAAGAATTATTAAGATCTAACCAAAAGTCTTCGATCATGTTGATTTTTTTTTCAATTTTGCAATGATATGCTGTATACTTCTATTTCCAAAGCTCAATTGAAAGATCGACATCATCGTCTCATTAACAACTTTTTTTTTTTTTTCTACAAAAATAGGAAACGTCGATACAAATTCCTTGTAAATAGTCATGAAAAACTTTGTGAAAAACCAACACTATTTGTCTCCTATTCGCGATTGTGACATTTCACATGAGTGTAGATTTGATTGTTGGGTCCAGCATAGCAGGATATGCTAATCCTTCAAATACACCTGTTCGCGCTCTTTGAAAGTTGCTATTCTCTCAAATTTGTTTTGTTTTACATTGAATTGTCTTCTATTAAACGATGTACGAAATTTGAACTTCTGTCTCTTTTGTTGATAAGCAATCGAGCCGGGCTTCAGAGTTAGTGAAGAACTGCCTAACATGGGAAGTTGGGAATCAGATGTGGATTATTGAAAAGCACTGATATGTTTACAGTTCATAAAAACTTAGTACTTCCTCTTGAAAAGGAATAAAACATTTTGCATTTTCGTACAAACATTATCATTTTTTTAGCTAACGTTTCGCTTAACTTTGACCGCTTAAAAAGTGCTAAATGTTTTTACTTTCACAAAAAGTCTTTTTATCTAATAGAACAATATGTTCAACACTACGGTCTATAAGGTGTTTACAAACTATATGTTTTGCTTTTTTCAATTAATGAAAGAATTATACAAAAAAAAAAAAAACCACACACACTTCTATTACGATACAAAATTGAAATTAAATGACCAAAGAGATCAAATGTTGTACATTCTAAAAGGACGTTTTTCCATTGTGTTCTTTGTCTTACCTAAACGATATACAAAAGGAGATAAGCATAACATATATATTTTCGAATTATTAAAAAATAAAAGAAATTGTAATTGTTACAACAGATTTTTATAATACATTTTGTAAAAGTCTACAACGAACATTTCCAATCCATGATAGCGAGAGAGAGAGAGAGAGAGAGAGAGAGAGAGAGAGAGAGAGAGAGAAAAAAACATCTCATTCCTCTTTATAATTACAAATGTGAAACATAATACCACCAACACTACTTACTCTTAACCGAATATTTCTGAAACCTCTGAATTTCAAAACATTTGTCAATAACAGCTGCATATGGAAATGTTACATTGAAATCTTGCGCTACAAATATAGATAAAAATATGTATGAAAGAGTAGAAAAAAAATCTTTTTTCAATAATAATACAATAATAAACGGCGAAAACCGACCAATGTATTCTGTTGAAGAAAGGAGTCTTGTAATATTGTTCTTTTGTGATTTTCAAGCACAACATATCCTCTTGTGGCCATTCACCTTGTAAAGCCGAACTCAGTGTGTGGGTATTACAGAAAGCAGGGTATATTAAACAACTTAACAACAACGAGTATGATACGATAGAATCACAACGGGTTACATTTTTATGTAGAATCTGCTTACCCTTGTAGAGCATAAAAAATCACCCCTGTTTTTTTCACCGTCTTTTAAAATGAGTGAATATAAAGCAGGACAGACCAAAATGACATGCAACAGTTCACAAAATATTACGAAACCTGCAACACGACACCCATTCGTTTCAAAAAGAGTAAAAGAACAAAAGAGAAGTTATAATGAGTAGTGATGCATATGACACTAGTTACAGCCGTCGTTCTTTAATTTAATAACACGTTAAGATCTGTATGAAAATCAGTCGAATTCGATTATATGTCTTATTTCGCAAAACAATTATATCTACAACAAATGATACATGCTTGTAATCATATCTATGCCACAAATGACCCATCGTAGTTATAGTGATGTCCTCCAAATTGACGAGACGATTTCATTTTTTGCTCAATATAACGATCTTTTAAAAGACGTTTCAATAGGCTACAAAGCTACATTTCAGCTATTCAGATATTCAATCACCAATTACAAGGTCAAAAACGATCACGTTCAACGTCGGATGTAACTTGCACAATAGTAAGACGTCGGGATGGATACATTTTATTTATGTAGAACTTTATGGTCTATTTTTTTTTTGAAATTGAATTATCCATTGAAGACCTAAGTATGTGACCAACTACTGCAAACCATACATCCTATGGTCAAATTGTTTTCTTATTAATTGAAATAAGATAAATGAAAGATACTTTTAAGCTTAAAATGCAATGATCTAATAATTAATTGAAATGTATCAGAAACCAGAAGAATGCAAATACAAATGTCTTACCTTTTCCCTTTGTCAATTTACATTTACATATCAAAATTAAGCACAAAATGCTGAACATAGCCACTGAAATGATGATTCCTGTCACAGTATAGAACGATATTTCCTTTAGGCAGCTTAAGTCTGCAAAAATAATCGTTTTGAATCTGGAGTCAAACATTAAATTCCATTTAGAAAATAGAAATCATTAGCAATTGTAGAGTACATTTCGAAATATTTTTTTATAACGAGTATGTGTACCAAACTCAAACATTGGTAACAAAAAGCAAATGTATCTATAGTTCTTTAATTAGACAGTAAAGCTGTTGCAAAACTATATTATAAGGAGCCTTCAACAAAAAATAGAAACATAATGTTACATGCACATCGTACAAATGAAAATTCTGACACTACCTGAACAGTAAATATCAACATTAGATATTCGTTTTAACTTGTTGCCTTAGTAATACATTTACAGGATCTAGAAGAGTTAGAAAAAAAGGAATAAAAAACGTCGTGTTTTCTTACCATCATATTCATCCGTTTTGTTTTGTCCTGAAAAGCATCACATAATAAATTTTAAAGAAATACAAAACAAAATATACCCAGGGTCAAGATAAACAGACATACCAAAGATAAGGATTTTTTACATATAAAGAAATTATATGATACCCCGTGTTTATAAAAGTGTAAAATATAATGCTTTATATCTTAATTTTTTTTTGTATTGGCAGCTAATCAAAAATGACAGGCGAAAGATACCAATGGTGGGATATTCAAATTCCGTCGAAGACCAACAGACAACATAATGACAAAAAAAAGTAAAATTACAAAAATACCGGAAGAAAATTCTAAACGGAAAGTCCCTAAGAAAATGACAAATTCAAAAGATCAAACACATCAAACGAATGGATAACAACTGTTATATTCCTGACTTAGTACAGGCATTTTCTTATGTAGAAAATTGTGGATTAAGCCTGGTTTCATAGCCAGCTAAACCTCTCACTTGTATGACAGTCACATAAAATTCCATTATATTGACCACGATGTGTGAACAAAACAAAGAGCCATAATAGGTAAAAATGTCAAACATAAGGGTACAGCAGTCAACATTGTGTTATAATCTTAATCACTACAAAAACAAGCAAATATGTCAACAAAGACAAACAAAAAGGTATAAAGACAAAGCACATTAACAAAAACTAAAGATAAGAATACACAAATTTACCATAGCACAACAACACAATGACGGGCTGTACAAGTACCGAGCCACGTCAAATGAATCACTACAAAATCAAGAAAATATGCCAACAAAGAAAAACAAAAAGGCATATTGAAAAGGCACATTGGCAAAAACGAAAGAGAAGAATACAAAAATTTACCAGAGCACAATAACACAATGACGGGATGTACAAGTACCGAGCCACGTCAAATGAATATTACCAAAAAAAGACTAAACACATGAAACAGTAAAAGTTACAATTTACAAAGACAAATAAAAAAATAATAATATAACACGTTATTAAGATGATAAACAACATCAGTACCTAGAATCTATACTTTAAGACCATCGTGTATTATTTGTGAAGTTGATACGGAATATTTATCAACAAGGTCTTGGTATCTTTCGATGAACTTTTTGTAGAAAAAGGACGAGACGTTCTTTGACATACCCCTGTTTCATCAACTTTCTGCTTAGACACGTGAGGTTGAACAAAGTCTGTGTAGCAGCTGCAAGCACTTGGATATCGAATGAGTTGGGAAATGTATATCCCATATGCAGGTGAAGTTGGTATATTGCTACTAAGGTGGGGGAAATTAATAATTTCAAAATTAAAATCGTCTTGTTTGTCATAGATTCTTGTACTGAGATAACCGCTTATGTCAAATTCGAGGTAAAATTCTAAAACTGAGGCAGAGGAAGCCGTGTCTGTTGTTTCCTTAATTTCAAGTTCTGGGGGATATATTAATGGAACTCAATCAGAAAAGTTTAGATTGTTAATGGATCATCAATATATCTGAATGTGAAATTAAATGATCTGGCTTCTTTGGTCTTCTTGGTTTTTGATAAGTGTCTGAAGGAACTCTGACTCATATGAAAATAAAAAGTGGTCGGCAAGGACAGGCGCGCAGTTTGTTCCCATAGGAATGCCGACAATTTGTTGAAAAAGTGTACCTCCAAATTCAACAAATATGTTGTCAATAAGAAACTCCAGCATACTGATCACTTGTTCCTCTGTGTAGCATGTTTTATTTATTTTTTTCACTATTAACAAAATATGCCGTATGGTATCCCAAAGTAATAAATTAATAGCGTATGCTAACATTTTTATGTTGAAACGCAATGTGGATTATATTTTTTAGACGATTTTTCAATTTTCACATGGGGAATAGTGGTATACAGGGTTGAAAAATCAAAAGGTTTGATTGAACTTATTTCAGAGAAAGATCGAGATTTAAAATTTTCCAGAAGTTCTTTAGAGTTTTTTAGAATCCACATATGGTTAATACCACTACGCGAGTAAACATATTTACAGTACTTCTGAAGACCCTCTTCCACTGTGGACAGAATCTTTGTCAATCTAATGGACAATTCTTTCGTTGAACATGCCGATGAGCCGGCAATGTACCGTTGATTGTACGGATTTTTTTGTGAAGCTTAGGTATCTAATACAAACAAGGTAAATCCTCCGATTAGCTGTTCAATGCAATGTTCATTGACGCCATGAAGGACTTATGATTCGCCAAAATCTCATTCTTGTCAAATATTATGTTTTTGTATGTGGGATTACCTGAGTGTCTATTTATTGATAACTCTTTTACAAGACACTCGTAGTAGTACGATTTACATACAAAGACAATATTATTTGAAGCTTTGTCCGCAGGAACAACAACATACTTATCGCGAAGAGATGATAGACATTTCACAGCCTCTTTGTCTCTGAAAGCAGACTTTGGTCGATCATTCACACAGTTTTTCAACTTATAAATGCGACGTTTTATCAGAGACCTGATTGATTTGACCCATTCTGACAAAGTGTCCAGTTCAACCTTTTCTCGTTTAGCCCATGCTATACCGTAGTCCTCAATGGAATCCATAATTATTTGTAAGTTATGGTTCCAATTGATGTGTTGGGGTTCTTTAAACTTAGGACCATGAGACAAAAGACGGAAAACTTCCAAGAGACAAGCAACAGTATACAAACAACAACATATAAAACTAAAGACTAAGCAAAACGACCTCCACCAAAATACCGGTGGTCTAACAGTCGTTATATGATGAAAATTTGACTTTTCAACTTCATTTATTTTCCCATATATAATAAGTGAACATAATCAAAATCATTGTTTACTCCAACCGTTCTTTACTATATGCAAAAAATATGCAACATGTCAAATCTGTCATAAACATGAGTGTAAATTATTTTCATTTCAAGCTATTATTTCTCCAAACAAAGACAACGTCAATTCTTCAATATTAGACAAACATGAAATGTCCGTCAATTCAAGATCGTTTCTTATGAGAACATATATAAGGATGAAATATCTCTGATTTATTCTTAACGTTTAAGAGTTACATAATATTGAGTGCATATTTAGCTTAATTGATCGATTCAACACATACATTGTATTTTGTTTTCAATCTTCACCAGATGCTCAGTTACATACCATTGTTTGTTTTACAATGTATATCCGTCTTATCTTTACAAAATGCAAAAATGAGAACGACAACTCTAGTTGACATCGTATGTGCTAATTCTATTTCAAACATGTTAGTATTGTGTAAAATTGAAAATGCATAAAAACCAATGAAATAACATCATGATTATAGGATTATCGTTGCAAAACGATGAAAAGTTACAAAATAGTTATTAGACATACCTTTCAATGTTAGGACGTTGATTTCAATATCTGCTTCATACTTTCTGCCTACCCCATGATGACATGACCAATTTCCATTTATACTATGATCAATTTTTCCTACCACTATAACTACTGTTTCGTTTGTGTGTGTATTCTGTTTTACAGTTGTATTACTGTATGTTGGAGTACAAAGAGGAGACGGAAAAGGAAGACTGCAACTTGCAATCTCGTTACCGAAGTTGTTTAGTATTGAAACTGGTAAATGAAGATCATCAATCTTGCAAATGATTTTTAATATGTTATTTCTTGATGTCCATCGAAGACAGATTTTTATTGAGCAGATGGAATGAGGGATGATACCTGCAAAATAAATTATACAATGTACAACAGTTACAGATTTTCATTGTTTGCTTATATCTTTCAGTGACAAATCTTTGAATATTTATTGGAAACATTTATTAGTTAATTATTCCAGTTTGATCATGCTATTTGAACATGTTAATTTCAATGACGTCTTGAACGGCATGGATGATCTTATATATAATTTACGATTTACAATTTAAAAGGAGTTTTAAATGCTAGATAGTTTTGTTCTCATTAAATGCACGATATGTATGACCTTATATATAATTAACGATTAACATATAATTTAAATGGAGTTTTAAGTACTTGATAGTTTTGTCTTCCAGTTTTGAACAATTCAAAAACTTATTCAAATTGTGAAATACGATAACATGTAAATTGTTATCCTTCGATTTTTTTATCGTAACTATTTTGTCCTGTTAATTATTTTTGCGCTGAACTTTAGATAAATGCATAGTATTGACGACAATGCTCTTCGTAATGTATAACTATCAGCAATGTTATTCTGTCCTTCGTTGTATTTATGTTTTACTTAATCATATCTTTGGCTAACAAATAAGTACCTGGTAATATGCTTAATAGAAGTAATATAAACTCCATTTGTGTTGTTTCATCGAGATTTTCATTTAAGTTCCATTAATCTTTGTAAGTATAGCTAATCTCAATAATATTATACCTAAAATGAATTATCGAATGATTTGTAAACATCATGTTTCATGCTACAATTTCAGTTTTAACTTTTTCATATGATTCGGATGGCTAGTCTATGAATCATGCGCTCCCTGTTTTTCGTGGTTTACTTTTTTTCCGTGTAGTGTTATGTTTTTGTTTTTTTATTGTTTTTTTATCGTTTTGGGGTCTATAGTTTTGTCTGTGTTTACAAGGCCTACGAATTGCGAGGGTATCTTCACTCTGTGTTTTGCAGAAAAATTATTGTTTCAAGACAAATAATTTTTTAACCCTTGATTTTGTTTTTTACAGAAGTGAAAGGATGTCGTCGAAGCCACAAACATTTGCCAATGAATAACTCTCATCGAGTGAAATCAAGTAACACAGAATATAGTCATTGATAAATTGCAGCATCGAAACCACACTTTATAAAACACAAAAGAATCAAATCTCATAGAAAATAAATAATGTATGTCATAAATCAAGTTATTATCAAAACGTCTGATGCAAGACAAGGTGACAAACAGTCCATCAACAGAGATATCAAAATGAAAATGAACTTTATCAACTTGGTGCATAAGAAGAACTTTTTTTTTCCTTTAGCGGAAAGGCTCCCTAAATTTTTCATTAGTACCTAGCGATAATACTCATATTTGTAACCAATATTTCCAGGAGACTAGAAATTAACCTTTGATTTCTTTTGCTCTTTGTTCTTGGCTTTATTGCACATTTTGAATACATTTTATTGCATCCTTACCGCCATTAAATTTCTTTGCGCAAATAGATATGGTTTTAATTTGACTACATTAAAAGGTAAAACATATCCGAAATTTGTTGTTGTCATCCATCGACTTATCATACAACAAGATGTCAAATTATCGTTGAATCAGTTTTTTTGAGTGGTAGACCTATGTTTTATACACAACACAATGACTTTCACTTAATAATTAATACTTCTGTGTTCACACAGTCCAGCTTTTAATCAATTTAGTGTTCTAACAATAAAGTGTTTGAAAAGTACAATGACATGAATTGCATATGCATGTGTTTTGTAAATAATTTCGTATGATAGAAAGCGACTTACATATACTTCACTTGAACTTCGGTGGATAGTTTTCTCATTGGCAATCATACTACAATTTCTTAATTTTATACCTATTAGTATTGAAAAAGGTACTTACGATAACAGACGTGGGGCTTACATATCCGTTATATATATATAGTCAGCCAAAAATATTGTTGACTTCTTTCTCAGTATGAAATTACAAACTATTCAGTGTGCACTTAAATATACGATTGGCCATAAATCCTTGAGCGCATTTAAGCATGATAATGGATGTTAAGTTAATTTGGTTTGCATTACGAAATGTATTAAAATCCAAATAGAAAGTTATACAATTTTTTAAGCGTTAGTTAAATTGTTAGTCGCTGTTTGCACTCCATTCATTATACTGTTATAGAAATGAACGCAAGATGATTTACAAATGAATATGTTTTCTTCGGTCTACTACATATGTATCCAAGAGTGGAAAAATGTTGTGTCGAGTGAATATCTACTTCAACATCGATACCAATTTTGTTGTAGATTACATGTATGCATATCATCTTGTAAGTAATGATAGTTATGGTTAGTTCTTTGTTAATTTGAATAAAGTATTACTGTAAATTTCGTCTTTTCAATTGTTTATTGGGTTCAATAACATAAATACAACAACAAAAATTAAAGAAACGGAAAAAAAAACAAAGTACTCTAAACTGGGAAAACTTTGCCGTATATTCATCAGCGAAAACTGAAAATTATTGTATCTTCAAGTCTATCAATATTATAGTTGCAGTAATATCGTTTCGCCAAAACTGGTTGATTAGTATAAGGAACATACATAATTAATTTAGTAATTTGTTTCCGTATTTTACATAGATATTGATGGACATGTAATGACAGTAATTTTTATATTGCTTATCCTGTTATCAGCAGCACATAATTTATAATGAGGCATTTTCAGTCATGATATTCATTTCTGAGACACAGATCACGCTTTTTCGAAATTTTTGGTATAATTTATCTAAGACATTGACAGTTTTGAACTTTCCACCACGTCAAAGCTTTTGCTCTTTCGAATTGAAGGTTTGAGATAATAACACGTTAACAGCAATATGCATTATTTTGGTCTTACTGGGTGAATTAATGGATTGAGGGTTATATATTGATACATTATTATATACAATTCCTTCATTTCAATTTCTTCAAAATCCAGATATGGAATATAAACAGTCGTTTATGCCCAGCGATTAAAACCAATGTGCATTTAAAGTGGTATAAGTAACTGTATATGACGAACACATGAAAATTAAAATTGCAAACTTTATTACATAAAATCTTTCAATCGTGAACATTTTGTATAAAATTAGATTTAAAGTGGTGATAAAATATACTTGTGAAAAGGATTTATTATGTGTAACGTTACGAGACATAATTGTGCATCTTGATGAAAGTATAAGGTTATCTCCTTAAAAACACAAATGTCATTCACATGTCTAGTCAGATAAACAAATATTCATAAATGACATTTTATATTTTCTGTGTACTGTACATAATATCATTTACAACTGAACAGGTTGAATATACAACACGTATGTATAATCTGCCTATTCTAATTAAATCAAATTGAGCGTGTCTGTTGAAAGAAATCAATAACAGCGCTCCGGACGCACGACTTTTTAAAGTGTTATTTTCTTTTCTTGTACTTTATTCGACAAGAATTGTTTAATGTGAAAGAATTATGGTTCTGGGTTCAATATTATACAAACAATACTTAGCTAATATGGTAATAAGACGGAGTGTTACCCCGAAAACAATCTGCTGTATCAATTTTCCACCCATTTGCTATTCAATCTATTATAATAAATGTTCTGTTATTATTATTGTCTTTTGAAGTTGTATTTGAAAGTGACGAAGTATGGCTTACATAAAAACGTTACAGTCACGAGAAAAGTAACAATGACGCAATATATATATATAAATATGTTTGATGTTGGTCGTTTTGAAAAAAAAAAAATACCTCGGTGTCCAAAATAAAGAACTTCTTCCACGTGGTCTTTAAAATTTATTAAACTATTCTTTCGTTTTAAAATATTAGACAAAATACATTCGTATATGATAAAAGTCACAGATAATCAAGCTTCCTCTTCACGGATTATAATATATAAGCCATGGTTTACATTTGAATGTATCCCTCTTATTACCTAACCAAACTCCGGCATTTTAACATGCAGTATTATAGAAATATAGTATTTTAATCAAACAACTACTCAATGATTTTCATTTGGATAAAACAAAATGGAAAGTGATATTACTAAATTGACTAAACAAGGTCGGTGACCCTTTTTTTGTCTCTCATTTTGTGCTTTTATTTATGAAATACTGTGGTACAAAATTGTAATACAACCTGTTTATTCATAAAAGGACTTGACTAAAACAGTCTGAGATGATACCCTTTAAATCCAGACGAGGGGCTTACATATCCGTTATATATATAGTCAGCCAAAAATATTGTTGACTTCTTTCTCAGTACAAAATTACAAACTATTCAGTGTGCACTTAAATATACGAGTGGCCATAAATCCTTGAGCGCATTTAAGCATGATAATGGATGTTAAGTTAATTTGGTTTTCATTACAAAATGTATTAAAATCCAAATAGAAAGTTATACAATTTTTTAAGCGTTAGTTAAATTGTTAGTCGCTGTTTGCACTCCATTCATTATACTGTTATAGAAATGAACGCAAGATGATTTACAAATGAATATGTTTTCTTCGGTCTACTACATATGTATCCAAGAGTGGAAAAATGTTGTGTCGAGTGAATATCTACTTCAACATCGATACCAATTTTGTTGTAGATTACATGTATGCATATCATCTTGTAAGTAATGATAGTTATGGTTAGTTCTTTGTTAATTTGAATAAGGTATTACTGTAAATTTCGTCTTTTCAATTGTTTATTGGGTTCAATAACATAAATATTACCTAACCAAACTCCGGCATTTTAACATGCAGTATTATAGAAATATAGTATTTTAATCAAACAACTACTCAATGATTTTCATTTGGATAAAACAAAAGAGAAAGTGATATTACTAAATTGACTAAACAAGGTCGGTGACCCTTTATTTTTTTTTCTCATTTTGTGTTCTTTTATTTATGAAATACTGTGGTACAAAATTGTAATACAACCTGTTTATTCAAAAAAGGACTTGACTAAATCAGTCTGAGATTATACCCTTTGAATCCTGAGTTTTGGTAGAGCTGCAATAAACATAACACAT